CCAGTTTACAAGCCAAAGCCAAAGCCACCAGTTTACAAGCCAGAGCCAAAACCAAAGCCACCAGTTTACAAGCCAGAGCCAAAACCAAAACCACCCGTTTACAAGCCAGAGCCAAAGCCACCAGTTTACAAGCCAGAGCCAAAGCCAAAGCCAAAGCCACAGCCACCAGTTTACAAGCCAGAGCCAAAACCAAAGCCACCGGTTTACAAGCCAGAGCCAAAGCCAAAGCCACCAGTTTACAAGCCAGAACCAAAGCCAAAGCCACCGGTTTATAAGGCTCCTCCAGTTCCGGTATACAAACCAAAGCCAAAGCCGCCAGTTTTCAAGCCTCCTCCTGTTCCAGATTACGAACCAAAGCCGAAGCCACCAGTTGTCAACCCTCCTCCGGTTCCAATTTACGAACCACCACCATTGCCACCGCCGGTAAATGAACCTTCTCCAAAGATCTTGCCACCACCTATTCCCATTTTCAAACCCCTTCCACCATTCTATAAGAAACCTTGCCCACCATTTTCTCTCCCCAAGCTTCCTCCTTTCCCCACCCTTCCTCCAAAAAGTTTCCATCATCCCATCATAGGTGACCTTTTCCCTCCCTTACCTCCCATCTTCTCTCATCCATAAGACCTCATTTGCATGCTATCTATCAAAACACAAATAAAGACTTCATGGTTGATAACAATTACATGAAGACATCATGATGCATGGATATATATACTGATAGATAGATCATGTATCAAAAGGGATTAGGGTTTCTTTTTGAGCATGAAACATATACATATATATATATATGTATATATATGTATATATATGTGTGTGTATCATGTGAAGATATTGAATGAGGTTTGTAAAGTTGTAAGTTTAATTCCTATAGTGTATCCATTTGAATCAATAATCTTACTTTTGGTTGAAAAAAGTTATTGCTCTCATTTGTGATCTACAATTCTAGTTAAATTTCTTCATCTTTAAATTTGCACTCACTTTAGCCTTGGGATTCACACTATAATAACATTTATTTTATAGGAAGTCAAAAATGGTTAAGGTTGATTTTTTTATTAAAACTTGTATAAATAAAGTTATTTGTTTGGATTAATCTGTTTGTATAGATTCAAAAGGTTTTTGTTTTTGATGGTTTTTTCATAAGTAGAATGAGCGTGTTGTTTAATTGGGAGGGACAGGTATGCAAAAACTCAGGCTTTCTACACAAAGCTCTCATAGAAGCTTGTTGAATAAACTATTTTCTACCAAACAGTTATACATAGTTAACCGAATAAGATATGAGTCCTATTAAGCTACCAACAAACAAGTGTCATAATAAACCACGTACTTTATAAGACTTGAGTTTATAGAACCAATAAATTAAATGTTATATGTAAAAGTGTTATAATATGTTTATGTAACACTTTTTAGTTTATTAAAAAAATTGTAGAACATTTTAAAAAAAAATGTCGTATTATAAATGACACATTGGAGAATAATGACATATAAAAAATCAATAAAACATTATGTTTCAAATGTGTCTTTAAAAAACTTGTTAAGATGCATAAAAACATTCTATAAATATATTATAACACTTTTAAATATGACACATAGTTATTTTTGTCATATAAACTTAAGTTTTATATATAAAGATGTCTATCATAACTTGAATTGTAAACCAAGGGGCCATTTGTCAAACGCTTACCGGCAAAACTCACCACTCTCACTTATCTTATCTATAACGTTTATAATCCGGTAAGCGCTTATCGAGTTAGAGTCACCGCCTTCATTTATTAGGTAATACTCTTGATCTTTATCTTCTATCTTATCGAGTAAGATTATATCTTATCGAGTAAGATTATATCTTATCGAGTAAGATTCTCGGTCCTTAATGTTTATCTGGTAAGGTAATTGAACTAGTAAACGCTTATCAATGTAAGTGTTTAATAGACGCAGGCCCGTTTCTGACATTTTTTAGGCCCTGGGCGAGATGTAAAAAGGGGCCCTCGATAAGTACGATATTTTTTCAATATGTTGTTTTTATCATCAGAAATAACGTTGAATTCATATAAAACCGTTTCTCAAAGTATTCCTGGACGCATAATCAATCAATATTCATTTCTAAATTAATATTATCTACTAGAACATTTTTATGTAGTATCAGTAATTTGTTTCATCATCAAAAACATCTTATAATATACTTTTGGTACATAGAATATATCATTTGGAGTCACAAAGTCGATTTTTCTGATTTCCGAGTGACACTATGTAAATCAATGTAAATAGGCTGGTTTTACATGTTATCTCATGTTAATGTTTTTTAACATCATTTTAAACTTTTATATTATGTTTTCGAATTTGGGAAGATTAACACCATTTTAAACCTTTATATTATGTTTTCGAATTTGGGAAGATTAACACCATTTTAAACTTTTATACTGTGTTTTCGAATTTAGGATGATTAACACCATTTTAAACTTTTATATTATGTTTTTGAATTTGGGAAGGAAATAAAAAATGAGAAAAGAAATGAAAAATAAAAGGAAAGAAAAAAAATTAAGTTTTTTATTTGTGTTTTTAATAGAGAAGAGAGAGGAAGGAAAAATAATAAAATAAAAATAAAATTTGATATTAATTTTTTCCTATCCTTTTTCTTCTCTTTCTCTAAAAAATCTCGAGAACAGAATATTTTTCTTCCATCATTACTTTCATCTATTTCCTACGTAGAAGAAGATTCAAGAACATAGAGTTAGGGTTAAAACAAACTTTTATGGAATCATCAATTATGTAAATTAAAAAACTCATGTTGGTAATAGTTTGAGATCTTATTCTTCTTTTAGAGATAGAATAGTACATAAGATTTATACACTAAATATTAGATTATAAAGAACAACTATGAAAAAACAATTATAGTTTTATTATTCTAAATATAGATATGAGTTGTACCGTCTTATATGGTTGGTAATTTTTTTAAAAGATGGGGGTTTTGTTAGCTAATAACAAAAAAATCTATTATATTCTAATATAAAAATAGAATTCACGCGAGAATAGAACAATCAAAGGAGTCGATGGGAGATAAATTATGGAGAATATATCAAAGTTTTTCGAAGCAAGTAGTTTTAGACGTCGGTTTTAGATAAAAAAACTTAGAAAAATATTAAACAATATTATATAATGGACGACAGATTAACATCTTTATATATTTTTTTTCTCCAATATATTTAATTCATGCATGTTTGGGTCTTTAATAGTTAATGTAGTATAAAAATATTTTCTTATCATATTAGATACTAATTTTTTTACTTGTCTTATATTTATTAATTTTTTTGAACTACTATTATATATATTAAAAAATTGGGCCCTTAATTTTTATGGGCCTTGGGCGTACGTCCGGCCCGACCTCCCAAGGACGACCCTGAATAGACGACCCTAAGTCTAGCTTCACAAAAGCCGAAGGTCATGAATGACATTTAAGATAGTTATTTTATTAAATAAATGTAACTACATTAAAGTTTAAGGGGCAAAGTGTAAATATCACCATCCCAAACCACGGTCAAAGCTCTACTAGCTCTATGCATGCACACCGTACGATGACAAACACGTGTTCCTGTTTGACGGTTCAGATTTAATTTCGTAAGTCGATCCAGTATCACACGCTGCTATATGAATGCGTTGCTCTGTTTTACCGTGAAACGCTGTGAAAGTAAATTAGGGCAAAATTAACAATGGCAAACCCTAAGGTTTTCTTCGACATGACCGTCGGTGGTGCATCAGCCGGCAGGATTGTGATGGAGCTGTTCGCTGACACGACTCCAAAAACCGCCGAGAACTTCCGTGCACTTTGCACTGGCGAGAAAGGAACTGGCACATCCGGCAAGAAGTTGCACTACAAAGGATCGTCGTTCCACCGTGTGATCCCCAATTTCATGTGCCAGGGCGGTGATTTCACCAGAGGTAACGGAACCGGGGGGGAGTCCATCTACGGCAATAAGTTCCCCGACGAAAATTTCATTAAGAAGCACACTGGACCAGGAATCCTCTCCATGGCCAATGCCGGTCCAAACACCAATGGATCGCAGTTCTTTATCTGTACCGCGAAAACCGAATGGCTCGATGGCAAGCACGTCGTGTTCGGGAAGGTTGTTGAAGGAATGGACGTTGTGAAGGCGATCGAGAAGGTTGGATCTGACCGTGGAACCACGTCCAAGCCGGTTGTGATTGCCGATTGCGGTCAATTATCTTAGATCCTTATATCTCATTTCCTGCTTTAAATCACAATTTTGTCATTAGATTTCTACTGGTTATGTGAGGGTTTTTGTCAATAGGTCGATCAGTGAGTTGATGGTTGATGAGATGAAGTAGCTGGTATGAAATAAAATTAGGTTTGATTAGCGTTTTGATGTTGGAATAATTGGGAGGTATTATCTTTTCCGTACGTATGCATACTTAATGAAACAGTAGATGGGGATCACTTCAGATCTAATATTTTCGGTTGTTTCGAAGGAGGTGTTTGTTTAACTCTTAATAGTTTTATTAAGAGGCAAACAAACTCTGAATTGTTAAGAGGTGAATCTTGTTCGGCAAAAAAAAAGTATGGCTCTTAATGTTTCTAAAACTCTCTGAATGATTTTGTATCATGGATCTCCCTTAACCATTAAGAACCCTAATTTCATTGTACACAATTATCAAATAATTATATTTTATTTTGCAATATACCATGAGAGCCTCTTTTAATCATCCTGACCACTTAATCATTCTGCATCAAACCATACAGCAATTGACAAATAGTCCCCTTCTTGCAGTTTCGTATCGGTGGCACCATTTGGCATTTTTCTTTACAAAATGGGCTGATTACCAAACTCTTGCTATCAAGAGTCCCAATCCCTACTAATCATGTCGAATAACATTTTTTCGTCCATCAAAACGGCTTGTTTATATGTTTTATGGTATGTTTGTTTCCTTGTTATTCGGGTAAGGAGTTCTTTTCGATACTTATTATACTTTTAAGTGACCTGGTAAATTTTGATCCCAAAACCATAATAAAAAATGTTACTTGGTTCAACATGCTTTCTTCTAATTTTTTAAAGAAAACCAAAAGTTGTTGAAACCCAAAAAACAAGAAATTTGCCAAAGGCTGGGTTTGAACCCGCCCCCGCCCTTGCTCCCCTCCTTTTCAAACAGTCACTTTTTATATCATTAAGCTACTATCAAACAATCATGTATAATTGATCGAATAAGTTGTGAGACCTATTAAGCTTTTTAAGCTGCGAATACATAGATACTGCTAACAAACACAACTTAAGTATGATGTAGGATGCTAATGGGTGTTCTATTATACATTCTCATTACCTTTCCTCACTCCCAACCAAACACCTCTTTGAATTTTAACAAATATCGAGTAAATTACAGATTTGATTCTTATGGTCCTTTGGTTTTCTTGGTTATGTTCCTACAATTCATTTATTCCAAAAAGAATACGTGTGGTATGTATTTTTGCTTGGTTTTAATCCTTTGAAGGTTGGTAACTTATTAATTGATCGTTAAGTCCTTCTACATAAAGATAATATGGTTAATTTATCATTTAAAATGTGGCATGGCATGGCACTAATGTGGATTATTAATAGTTTTCTTAATTATTATTTTTTTGTCGGCTATCGACCACCACAACTACCATCCATCAACATCCATCGCCATAAGACGACCAACCATTCCCATTAAATCTATAAAATGAACCAGATGTCTTTTTGATAGGAGATCAAGGCCCATATGTCTTTATATGAGGGGTACATAACTAGGTATGGAAATGAGACCCGTTTCATTGGGGGACCTGGTGACCGCTTTCGACGGGGACGGGGATTCCCCGCAAAACTACGAACTAGGGATCCCTGAAAGTTAAAAACAGGGATAGGGTGGGGCCAGGTACCATGATTCCCGCATCGTCCTCGTATATTAATACTATATTATAAAACATTTAACAAAAAACTCTTAAAAACTATTTTTTATGTGTAATGTACTGTTTATTAATGCATATTACTTAAAACTCAAGATTGCAAGTAGATTATGCGTAAGTACAAATTATTAAAGCTCCATACCTGAATTCATGTAACTAACTACTGCAGATAAACATAATCAAATACAGAATAAACATCTCATTTTAAATATAAAAAATCTAAAATATAATTAGGATAATCATTGAGTTCTAACAGAATACTTAATTATTATCTTTATAAAATGTTAAATATTAAATCAAAAATAAATTATTTTGTTATTAAAGTTAAATTAATTTATAATAAAAAAACAAATTAAAGAAATTACATAAAAATGAGAACTTTTAAATAGTTGATTTGATATTATGTATTCAAATTTTTACAATATATTCAAATTTATATTTTATTCAAAAATAAAATCATTATTGTTTTCTTAAAAACACATAAAATCGTATTATAACATCGACATAGACAAATAATAAAATAGAACATTAAAATTGAGAATTATATTATATATTATATATTATCATTAAATATATAATTTATGAAGAATTATATTTAGTATATTTAAGATTTAAAAATGTTATTTTGAAATTTATTCTTATATACATTTTTTAACTTGTTTTACATAAAAAAAAATATGGAGAACCAAAAACATAAGACAATTGGGTTAATAATATATGAATATTTGATACTAGATAAAAGAAAATTGTGGAAATATGTGAGATTTAAACATGAACCATTTTGGATTGAATGTGATGTTTAATACATTTGATTTAAAATATTCCACGTACACGAGACAAAAATCTTTGGTTCTCGTTGACGACAGAGGTGAGGATGTGATCATATTATCTGGCGGAGATGAAGATTGAGGTTCAGGTACGGGGATGGGGATGGGGATGGGGACTGGGGTCCCTGCCCCATTCCCATGCCGATACATAATTGCATTTAAGGGGGCCTTTTTATATAAATGAATTATAGAGACGAAAACTGGAAAAATAATAAAATAAAAGATGAAAACTGTAATTTATGTTGGTTTGGAGTGCGTTGAAGATGTAGTGGTCGAGTTAAACTAAGATGAAGCTCAATATAAAGAAAACCCTATTTTAATCTTTGTTGTTGCAGGAAATTTTTTCTTCATATCAGTTACTCAACCCCTTGGACCCACGATTGGTTTTTTAAGTTCCTTCGAAAGAAACATATGACATCTACACTAACACAAACCACAATTCTCTCCTGCCTAGGAATATATACCGACACGATTGAACTTTGTATTAGAAATATGTGGAATATACACCTAAAAAGTGAATATATAAATAGAAATAGTTCATTCAAACTTTCAGTATCATAACGTACCAAAATGGTATTCAACTTTTGCATAGCTTTCAGCATATACATTACCCAAAAACATGTAACAAAACAATTGAATGGTATCACCACCTTATAACTACTATTGCAGAAGAAAGGGAAACCGGAATCTATGGGAATGTTTGAGATTGCTTATAAAAACAATTTATTGACTTATTCCGGTGTGACACTGGTAATAAGCACTTTTAAGTATTTGAATAAACAACTTATACCGGTGCCAAACCGGTAATAAGAAGTTAAATCCTTCTGACTTATAATAAGTTAATAAATGCTTAAAAAAATCATAAGTTGTTTCAAATAAGCAATCCCAAACATCCTCTATATTTCCCTGAAAATATAGAAGTAGATTTGGGTTGTTATTGGAAAACTAAAAGGCATTTAACAATTGGAACTTAACGATCGTAGAAGTAGAGACCAATACAATAACAAAATGTAAATAAAAAAGAAATGTTTGTAATAGATGGAACATGGGGATGAAAAATAACTTTGAACAAACTATAGGGACTAAAAGTGTAACTATATTTTTTATTTTTGTTTTTATTTTTTATTAACCTCCATACCAAAACCAAACGCTTTCTTTGAATAAAAGGATCACCATCCGATTGCATTCGATTCTTCAAGAAAGGATTCGTTTCCAAATCACACAAGGTTTCTGTAAATCCATCTCCACCGTTCAATCAAACCCTTGATCATATTACCTGCTGATTCTTCGCCTGAATTTAACGCAAAAAACACCATATAAAGCCTCTCTCTCCTCAAACGGAATTGGAAGAGAGACAACCATGGCGGCAACTGTAACGAATGTGTGGGGCAAACCTGGGGCATGGGCTTTGGACTCTGAAGAACATGAGGACAAGCTTAATCAAGAAAAAACGGCAACACCCACCACCGGAAACGACCAATCGGCGGATTTTCCCGATTTGACGACGGCTGCAGCCACCAAGACGAAGAAGAAGAAAGGTAAGCCCTTGCCTCTGGGTGAATTCGTAACTGGCTGGACCAATAAGCCCAAGGCTCAGACTTACCAAGCCGCCAAGGGTTTAACCACTGAGGATATGATGATGCTTCCGACCGGTCCACGTGAACGGACGGCTGAGGAGTTGGACCGGAGTAGGTTAGGCGGTGGTTTCAGATCTTATGGTGATAGGAACAATGATTCATCGAATTCTCGGTGGGGTTCCAATAGGAGCACCGGCGGTGGTGAGGAAGGTCGTACATCGAGTAGGGAATATTCGCGTGCCGACAAGACTGATGATTGGGGGGCGCAGAAGAAATCAGCCGTTGGGGGCGGTGGTGGATTTGATCGGAAGGAGAGAGCAGGAGGGTTTTTCGAGGGCTCAAATTCTCGTGCTGATGAATCCGATAGATGGGTATCCAATAAAAGCTACACCCCACCTGAGGGACGAAGGAATGTAAGATTTGAATCTAGCGGCGGTGCTAATTCTTCTGATAATTGGGGGAAGAAGAAAGAAGAAGAAGCCCGGCGATTCGGTGGTGGTGGTGGTGGTGCGTTTGATAGTTTACGGGAAAAGGGAAGTGGCAATGAGCTTCCTGATTCAGATAATTGGGGACGAAAGAGGGAAGAAGCCATTGGTGGTAGCAGACCTAAGCTTAATTTGCAACCTAGGAAGCTGCCTGTGGTGGGTGATACGGCAGAACTGAAGCCAAATAAGGGGTCGAATTTGAATCCATTCGGTGATGCTCGGCCTAGAGAACAGGTGTTGAAGGAAAAGGGACAAGATTGGAGGGAGATTGATGAAAAGCTTGATTCAATGAAGATGAAGGAAGTTGATTCAAAAAGGGGGTTTAGAACTGCTGCTGCCATTGAAGACCAGTCTGAAAAAAGCTGGAGAAAGAATGTTTCTCCTTCAAGGTTTGATCTTCATTCAAGTTCACATTAATCTTTTAGTTTATGATTTTGTTTGTTTTTAAATGCTCAATTGCTGGTTTGTGATCGATAATTAATCCATTTTAGTTCTTGATTTTGAATTGCATTATGCTATGTTTGGGATTGTAGATTTAGATATCTGATTTCTATCAAGTTAATGTCATGAATAAATTTTGGAATATGATGCGGATGAAACCAAACCATCGGCTAGTTTTTACCAAACGTGGCTTGGTTATATCAAACATATCCCACCTTCAACCATATTCCTCTCCATAGACATCCTACCCACAGACCATACTTCCGTTCCGGGTGGAATATACTGAGTTTATTTGGTTTTGTTTCTTCGTAAAGACAAGACTTCCCATTTTGGGTGTTTGAAAATGAATGCAACAGTTCTTTTAGCAGAATATACAAGTATAAACTTCCTTACATGGCCATTGTCATCACTGCAAAAGATTGATGGCATGGATTTTGTGAAATTCTCCTATTTTGTCACAAGGGTATTCAAGAAATTTGATAGACTACTTTTCCCGTTTTAGCAATCACTTGACGAGATTCGGTTTTGCTGTGTAGCTCTGAGAATAACGAGATTGGAAATGCCGAAGAACCCGAAGGAGAAGAGGCACAGGTTTGATTCAGGTTATGAGAAGAAGGGCAAATAAGAAATGAGAAGTTGAAGATGATGATGAAAGTAGTAACCTTTTGGGTCTGTTTTTTGGGACTGATTCCACTATTTGCTGGTGCAAAATTTTGGTAGATTTGACAAGTAGAGTGAGGGTGGTATGATGCTTATAATTATCTTGGTTTCTGTATCCACTTTGTGATCTCAGATTTGGTGGAACATGAATGCTGATTACCAAATGTTCTCAGATTTCATGTCAATGCATTAGAAATGTGAAAATAAGGCAGGGTTCTCATGTAGAATGGGTTTGAGAGTTGACAGCGTTTTTCGTAGGAAAAAACGTGCATGAAAGAATCCGAAATCCTACATGGAAAACCGGAAGACATGCGCTTACACGAGTGCGGACTTTACACGATGTTTCCTAAGTTAAGTAGTGTAGGATTATTATTTTGTTTTCGTTTAGTTATTGTTTTTCTTTGCTTGTTACAATACTGCAATACATGTTTTTTATTTGTTAAATTGTTTAACTTTTGTTATTTTATTATTAAACTTTGAAGTTTTAAAGTTTTACATAGCGACTTGAAGTTAATACAAAAACGATATCAAACCTGTAGTACCAAATAAAGTTGATTGGTTTTACGTATCGAGTATAATTGGTTAGTACATGTTGTAGGGGGGAAACTTGGTATGATACCACGTTCACTCTTAAACGGAAATATTTTCCTCATTTTATTTTATTGATTCTATTTATATATTTATTTAATCAGTTTTAAAAAGTCTAAGTATTTATTCATTTAAAAAGAATTCCAAACCTTGATTGTTAAAAAAATAAAATTCGTTAGTTTTTCTTATTATTTTACTATATTAACCGTTTATACCTCAAAATAAACTATTTAAGTGGTTTTACAAAATATAAAGATTTTTAATTTTATTAAAAACATGTCTAAGAGCATTTTCAGATGTTATATTTTCTTCTCTTTTTTAAATTTAGAGATTTCTTCATTCTCTCTTCTATTTTTCTCTATTTTAGATCAGATTTTTGAAGCATATTTTTTTAATTCTCCTAAAATTTAAAATAGCATTTAACTGTTAAAGATACTTCAAACATGGATTTCGTTGGGTTTTTTGAAAACTAAATTACATTTTTAACCCTAAACCTAATACTTCTCATCGAATCACGTACGCCTCTTCTGGTTTGAGATTAATTAACTGATTGTGAGTATACCAACTGCTTCCTGGACCTTTCCAGTTTTGATTTTCAATTCCATTAGGGATTTCAAAGCTTTGGTGTCTTCAGGATGTGAGCATAGATGCTCTTTTAGGGCTCGTTCTTTGGAGTTAGAATCGGCAGTTTCTATGGTGGCGGGAGATGGAGGTGAAGAAATTGGAGTAGCAATTATGGGTTTGACGGTGAAAGAGGAGAAATGTACTTTTTAGTTATTTACATGTATAAATAAAATTTGTCAAACACTAAAAAACAACTTATCAGTTTGCTACATTTTAATACCGCTATAAGCTAATCTAAACGTTTGTCATAAAACTTTGATTTAAAACCTTATAAATTGATAAACAATTTAAGGTAAAAAAAGTAAGTTTTTTTAAACTAGAAGGATACTCGCACAATGCAACGAGATATATCTTCATTTTAATGTTTCGTTTTTATTTTTTATCTCTGTTGATATAATATGATTTATATGGTTTTGAGAAAAATAATGTTTTTTTTACGATTTAGTGAAGTAATTTATTTTTGACTTAACAATAAAATTTTATAAATAAAATAATTCTGTTAGAACTCAATGATTATCCTAATTATATTTTAGATTTTTTATATTCAAAATAAGATGTTTATCCTGTATTTGATTATGTTTATCTACAGTTAGTTATACGAATTCAAACATGAAGCTTTAATAAGTTGTACTTACACACAATTTACTTGTAATCTTAAATTTTAAGTAATATACATTAATTACAGTAATTCATGCATAATAAATGATTTTAAAAAAAATTTATCGAATGTTTTATAATATAGTATAAATAATCAAATCCCAAACACGCGCGTGTAAATAAAGAGAGGTAGCAAATGTTAATGTGAAGAGTTCGTCTTCAGAAAACCAACATGTGAACTTCAGTTGATCGAGAAAACATGGATTACATTCTGCTTTCCAATTCCTTGTTATCAATGGAGCTACAGGCCTACAGCCACATCTCTTGGGGTGCCTGTGGGCCTGCACCAACGTGCCAACAAGAAAGAAAGATTCCATAATCCATATCATGCTTTTAAATACCCTAATCATTCGCAATGGAAGCATGAAGACATAGATCATGAAGATGATGATCCCCATTTTTCTCTTACTTGTCATGTTTCAGAGCATCCACACCATTCAAACATCTGAATTTACCATAACAGAGGCCACCATCCAAGATATTCAAACAGCTTTTAAGCAGAACAAGATCACTTCCAAGGATTTAGTTAAGCTTTACATCCAGGAGATACGAAAACTCAATCCAATCTTCAGGGCTGTCATCGAAGTGAACCCAGATGCAGTTCATCAAGCTGAAGTGGCTGATCAAGAGCGAAAGGCTAATGCCCCCAAGTCGCGTTTTGGGTTGCATGGTATCCCTATTTTGCTCAAGGATAACATTGCTACCAAAGATAAGCTTAACACGACTGCAGGATCTTACGCTCTTCTTAAGTCGGTGGTGCCTCGGGATGCTGGTGTTGTGAAGAAATTGAGAGAATCTGGGGCAATTATACTTGGAAAAGCAAGCTTGAGTGAATGGGCTAATTTCAGAAGTTCCTCGGCACCTAATGGTTGGAATGCTAGAGCTAAACAGGCAGTTGTAAGTCCTCGCATTCAATATCTTTTTCGTAAATTCAGGATTCAGCTTAGAAAAAAATAATATTGTTGTTTGAATTTTGATTATTTTACTGCATGATGATAATTTCCTGCTATAAAGACATTGAGGTACGCCAGGTGTTTGTGTAAATGCCTCAGTGAACTTGCAAACAATGTAATCAAAATGATAAGAATTTTCTTATGATTCTAGAAACTGCAATTACTATATAGAAGGATCTCCTTGTTTCTGAATATATTAGAGCATCATCAATTCCGTCATATCTGAAATAAATTCCWGAAATAAATAAAGAATTCTGTCACTTCAAGAAAGGATTGTAGATCTCTCATTCCGAAGTTGGCAAAGTGAAAGCGACAGAATTGTAACAACTCCAATCAATTAGGCGTATTGTGCCGGTTGTTTATGTTTTTGTAGAGTACTAAAGCATGCATCTTCTTTGTGTTCCTTGAGCGTCTGCATTCTGCACTTCTATTGGATTCAAAGATTTCTTGAATTTGTGCAGAACCCATATGTAGCAACGTTTGATCCATGTGGTTCAAGCACCGGATCAGCTATATCAGTTGCAACAAACATGGCTACTGTATCATTGGGTACAGAAACAGATGGATCAATCCTGTGTCCTTCAGGTGCCAACTCGATTGTTGGGATCAAACCCACATTAGGCCTCACAAGCCGAGCAGGAGTCATTCCAATTTCCCCCAGACAAGACTCAGTTGGGTAAGCCTCAAGTATTCATTAACTTTTTATTTTCCGGGGGAGTGGGTTCATGAATAAATCCCTGAATGGAAAAAGTTATTTTGCTAACCTTTTCTTTATCCTTCTACGGATTCTTGGTGAAAATAGACCGATGTGTAGGACTGTAGCAGATGCTGTGTCTGTTCTTGATGCCATCGTGGGGTTTGATAACAATGATGTGGCAACCAGAAAAGCTTCAAAGTATATTCCAAAGGGTGGTTACCGAAAACACCTAATATCCAACGGACTCGAAGGAAAAAGATTAGGAATAATGAGGGTTTATCCCTATTTTGGCTTTGCTAACGACACTAAAACCTTGAAGAAATTTGAGAAACATTTTGCCATATTAAGGTATAAGCACTGAAATATCTGCCACCATCCTTGAATTCACAACCCTTTTCCTCATAGGTTTTTCTTTCAACTTCAAGAATCTGCTTCTAACATTCTTGTTTTGCAATTGTGTAAATAAGACGAAGTGGTGCTACTCTGGTAGAGAATTTGGGAGTCGACAACTTCAGTCAGATCAGTTCAATGCTCATTGATGAGACTTTAGTGCTAATAGCTGAATTCAAGATCGCCCTGAATGCCTATCTAAAGGAGCTAGTGGCTTCACCCGTGAGATCTTTAGCAGATGTGATAGCTTTCAACAAGAAATTTGCCGATTTAGTAAGTATAGATCATACCTTCATCACTACAAAATGGTTTTGTAAAGATCATAGGATTCAGTTTCATCTTTAAACATCCTTTCCAAGTCTTGAAAATATATCAGCTAGTGTATCATATGATATATGTATTTGGACACTTTGTTCTTAACATATGTTGGAATCGCTTCTCTCTTCAATGACTCTTTTGGACAGTAATCTAATTAAGGTTCGACATATTCTCACAACAACATTATGTCATATTGCAGGAAAAGATCAAAGAATATCCACAGGACTTCTTTTTGGCAGCTGAGAGCACCAACGGTATAGGGAAGTTAGAGAAGGAAGCATTGATGAATTTAACGAGAGCATCAAAACATGGGTTTGAGAAGTTGATGAAAAAAAACAAATTGGATGCACTCGTGACACCATATGCAAACGGTTCCATGATTCTTGCCGTTGGGGGATATCCAGGAATCAGTGTTCCAGGTGGGTACGATAAAAATGGCGCTCCATATGGTATTTGTTTCGGAGGTTTAAAGGGTTCAGAGCCAACTTTAATCGAGATCGCTTACGGGTTTGAACAAGCAACTAAGTTCAGAAAGCCTCCTCCAATCAAGTGATGAATACACGATGTCTACATGCATATTATATGCTCTTGTGGGATAAGTGTCGCAGGACATGGGAAATTATGATGATGTTTAAAATGAACGTTAAAAGAATAATCACATTGTGAAACAAATCATGTACAATGACGTAAGATTAACAAAATAATCATATTGTGAAACATGATGTATTGTTTCACATGTTATTGGTTCTCACGATTCTGAACATGTTTGTAATTCTGATTTGATTATTTCCTATTGGTTTTGGATATCTATGGTTATGATATCAATGGTACGTATATTAAGGGGTTGTTTGTTTACCTCTTAATAATTACATTAAAAGACAGTATCTGAATCGTTAAGAGGTGAATTTTGTTTTGCAAAAAAAAAAGTATGTCTCTTAATGATTCTAAAACTCTCTGAATTATTTTTTATCAAAGGTCTCCCTTAAAACAAATGTCCTATAAAAAGATGTATTTGTATGACATTTTCTAGAATGCACAATAAAAGGGCTAATTAAGACATTTTGTTTCAAAAATGTCATAAAAAAACTTGTTAAGATGTCCAAAAACATCATATAAACTTGTTACAACACTTTTAGATATGACATGCAAAAGTTTGGTTATGTGCACTTAAGTCCTACACTTAAACACATTAGACCTCCTATAAACTCGATTTTATTGTTTATAGTGAGTTTATTTGGTTTTGTTTCTTCATAAAGACAGGACTAACTCATTTTGGGTGTTTGAAAATAAATGCAAACAGTTTTTTTAGCAGAATTTACAAGTATAAACTTCCTTACATGACCATTGTCATCACTGCAAAAGATTGAGGGCATGGATTTTGTGAACCCCCATTGTAAACGTTAATAATTGATATTACCTATGCATTAGGTCTTAACATGGACAGACCCAGCTGAGTGGCTTAGGTGGCACGTGTCACTGTATTATTTCTCCGCCGAAGGGTAAAAAATTTAGGTTTGTGAACGGTGTAACCGTATCGTTTTAGAAGGTGTTACCGTATTTTCCTGAAACTCAAATCGTGCAACTGAAACCCAAATAAAACAAAGCCCAAATGTCCACATCAAAAGCCTAATATGCAAAGCCCAATTAATCAAACAAACTACAAAGGCCTTAGGCTTAGCCGATAGCCCGTAAACTTCGTAGCTAGCCAGCGAGATTACTAGAACAAACAGGAACAGATCCAAGTCGGCAAACAAATCTAGACCAAACAACAACAAGTGAGTGACGGAAATCGGAGATCGGCTCGAACGATTCTCAACTCTCAAGTGGCGATTCTCGGAAATTGGACGATTCTCGAACGATTCTCACTTGCTACATGGCTATTTGGTGACTGTGGTCTCTGTTTTCACTTTTCAGATTCAGTCATTTACGTAATTGAATTGGTGATGACTTTTTGAATTATGCCCTCATTTGTGTCATAGAAAAGGAAACACATAATAATGTTTAAAAAGAAGATGTCATCGATTGTTTCCAAAAGATGAAGACACGCTGATAACAAATTTAGGAGTTGTCTCTCAATTCTATAAAAACCATACTGTTTGTAATTATTTTTGGGTATATATTGACGTTTTCAAAAGATGAAGATGCGTCGGGACAATTTTAGGAGTTGTTTATCGTTCCTATGAAAACCATATTTTTTGTAATTATTTTTGGATTTATATTATATTATATTAATTATATGGAGCCACTGTTTGAAAAAAATTATGGGTCCATCCCTGGTATTGATTACGTTAAAGTATTTTGCGCCTCCGCAATTATGTAATTAATCATGTTAAACACATGATGTATGTTTGAAAATTTTAAATTCGTATTTTATTCATGGCATAAGTTATTAAAAATGACATTACGGCACTCGAAAGAAGAAGAAAAAATCGGAGGGTGACATTGATCGCTTTTAAAAAACATACAGATTTATTTATTTGATCGAATAACTTAATTGATCATAATCAAAATGTCTTATAAAAGAATTAATAGATGTTTTTTCAAGTATATAATATTTATATATGAGAAATCACGTCACTTTACGACAAACATGGAAGCATATAAAAATAACCACGATTCTATCATTTTTTGTGTGTTTTCATTTATTAGTATATTATATAATAATTATATGTGAGAAATCACGTCACTTTACGACAAACATGGAAGCATATAAAAATAAGCATGATTCTATCATTTTTTGTGTGTTTTCATTTATTAGTATATTTTATTAGATTCTACTAAAAATACAAAATCTGATAAAATTTTAAAGAAAACGTATATGCACGTAAAATACATAAAAACACAAATACGGATGCTAAAGTTTTATAATTATACCAAAGGGTCGTCTATTAACATAAAAGTACTGTATTTACTAATCGAGTAAGAATATAGTTTGTATCGACACTAATAAATGATTGGATAAGAGTGTCTCTCTTAGCTTACTCGATCAGTATCTTGTTTTATCATCATGGATCGGTAAGAGAGGTCTGGTAAACAACAACTTTTTTCATCGGTTAAGCACCTCTTACCAGGTGAAAGACGATAAACAGAAGCCGATAGTAAACAACTGCTAATAATATTCCTCAAAATAAATAAATTTAACTATATATATAAATATACACGCAGGTGCACACTTGGGAAATGTCAGAAAAACTCAACGGACTTTTTTATTTTGAACGATTAAGTTCTTAAACAATTTTTTGAACAAAATAAATCTTCAGACTTTTTGAAAACCAATTATATAAATGCTTTTAACCTATAAAAATGACTCGTAACATAACATGGTGGTAAAAATTCGTTTTTGAACTTCAAAGTAAGAGAAAAGTCCATAAATAACAATATATTTTTTTATTATAAGTGATTAAGGGGCCGTTTACCAAATGCTTACCAAATCATATTATCTTACCGGATGAATATGTTAAGCATCAAGAATCTTACCCGGTAAGAGTAAGATCAAGAGTCTTAACCGGTAAGTGAGGACGATGACTCTTACCATGGTAAACGCTTACGGGGTAAATTATTGTATACTATGTTGTTTTGGTGGACTAAAATCTTGGATAAATACATAATAGTATTAAGTTTTATCGATAAACATTTACCAAATAAGTGATTGGTAAACAACCCTCCTTGGGTTAGAATGATCCATTTAATCGGTTGTGTATGCATAAAAATCTATTTGGTTAAAAATGTTGTATTAACTTAAGCGGTCAAAGTCAAAATCTTTTACAGCTGTCCTCGAACCCTTTTCGTGAGCTAGCGATTCAAATGTGAACTGTGATCTTCTCAAAACGAAACTTGAAAGAAAAACGTGGATCGCATTCTTGTTGCCCCATTTTCCGAATCCTTTGTCATCAATGGAGGAACAAGCAAATCTCTTTGAATCCCTGTGGGGCTACACCAATGTACTACCAGACGATGTGTACCACTATAAGCAAGAAAGAAAGTTTTTCATTTGATGCTTATAAATACCCTAATCTTCCGCCATGGAAGCATCAAAACGTAGATCATGAAGATGATAACCACCATTTTTCTCTTACTTGTCATGTTTCAGAGCATCCACACCACTCAAACCTCTGAGTTTAACATAAAAGAGGCTACTATCGATCAGATTCGAACAGCTTTTAAGCAGAACAAACTCACGTCCAAGGATTTAGTTCAGCTTTACATCCAGGAGATACGAAGACTCAATCCAATCTTCAAAGCTGTCATCGAGGTGAACCCAGATGCAGTTCAACAAGCTGAAGTGGCTGATCAAGAGCGAAAGGCAAATACCCCCAAGTCGCGTCTAGGGTTGCATGGTATCCCTATTTTGCTCAAGGATAACATTGCAACCAAAGATAAGCTTAACACGACTGCAGGATCTTACGCTCTTCTTAATTCGGTGGTGCCTCGGGATGCTGGTGTGGTGAAGAAGTTGAGAGATTCTGGGGCAATTATACTTGGAAAAGCAAGCTTGAGTGAATGGGCTCATTTCAGAAGTACCACAGCACCTAGTGGTTGGAATGCTAGAGCTAAACAAGCAGTCGTAAGTTCCCACATTCAAGGTTTTTTTGTAAATTCAGAATTCAGCTTAGAAAAAGTAGTATTCTTGTTTGAATTTTGAATGTTTTACTGCATGATGATAACTTGCTGCTACAAAAACATTGAAGTAAGCCAAGTGTTTGTGTAAATGCCTCAATGAACTTAACGAAAGATGTAATCAAAAGGATGGTAGATTTTATTAGAGTACCGAAGCATGCATCCTTTTTGTGTTCTTCACTTCCATCATTCTGCACTTCTATTGTATTCTAAGATTTCTTGAATTTGTGCAGAACCCATATGTAGCAACGGCTGATCCATGTGGTTCAAGCACCGGATCAGCCATATCAGTTGCAACGAACATGGTTACTGTATCATTGGGTACAGAAACAGATGGATCAATCCTGTGTCCTTCGGGTGCCAACTCGGTTGTTGGAATCAAACCCACATTAGGCCTCACAAGCCGAGCAGGAGTCATTCCGATTTCCCCCAGACAAGACTCAGTGGGGTAAAGCCTCAAACATCCATTATCTTTTATTGGGGGATTCATGAATAAATCCCAGAAAGCAAAAATGTTATATTGCTAACCTTTTCTTTATCCCTCAATGGATTCTTGGTGAAAACAGACCGATGTGTAGGACTGTAGCAGATGCTGTGTATGTTCTTGATGCCATCGTGGGTTTTGATAACAATGATGCAGAGGCAACCAGAGAAGCTTCAAAGTATATTCCAACAGGTGGTTATCTGAATCACCTAATATCTGATGGGCTCAAAGGGAAGAGGTTAGGGATAATGAGGGCTTATCCCTATTTTGGCTTCGCGGACGATCCTCAAACCTTGAAAAAGTTTGAGAAACATTTTGAGGTATTCAGGTAAGCATTCATATCTGCCACCATTCTTGATTACACCTTTGTGTTGATTAAATTCAACTTCAAGAATCGACTTCTAGCATTCTTATGCTGCAATTTTGTGTAAAACAAGACGAAGTGGTGCTACTCTGGTAGAGAATCTGGAAATCAACAACTTCAGACAGATCGTTTCAATGTTCAGCGGTGAGGTTACAGCACTATTGGTAGAATTCAAGATCGCTCTGAACGCCTATCTAACGGAGCTAGCGACTTCACCCATGAGATCTTTAGCAGATGTGATAGCTTTCAACAAGAAATTTCCCGAGTTGGTAAGTAAAGATCATACCTTCATTATCATAGAATGGTATCCATACAGGACATAACATAACAGTTCAGCATTTGGTAAGACAGAACTAGACAAAGCAGCTAATTACAGAATAAATAAAATGTAAAGAGGGAGACGTATTAGATGTTTTAGTAGAGAATTATGTTTTATTTTGAGGTTACATTAGTAAAATATAGGTATGTTCCACCTTGTTCCATGGGCTGGGGGGTGTTCCACGCTTGTTCCACATAAAAGTCCTACCAAACATGGAACAATGATCCCTCTTCTGTTCTTTACTGTCCACTATACCAAAAACACCCTAAGGATCATAATATTCAGTTTCATTTTTATATATCCTTTCCAAGTCTTGAAAATATATCAGCTAGTGTATCATATTACTTCCATCAAGAGATATTTTTCTAAAGAAACACCCATTAAAAGTCGAAGTCAAATATCGGCTATTGACACTTTCTCCTTGATATATGTCAGAATCTATAGATTTTCTTATATTGTCTTGTACTGATTTTCTAGCTCCGGCCTTGCAGGAAATGATCAATGAATACCCACAGGACATGTTTCTGAGCGCTGAGACAACCAACGGTATAGGCAAGGTAGAGAAGGAAATATTGATGAATTTGACGCGAGCATCAAAAGATGGGTTTGAGAAGTTGATGAAAGAAAACAAATTGGATGCACTTGTAACACCATATTCCCAGGGTTCCACGGTCCTTGCTATCGGGGGATATCCGGGAATCAGTGTTCCAAGTGGGTACGATGATAATGGTGCTCCTTATGGTATTTGTTTCGGAGGTTTAAAGGGTTCAGAGCCAACATTGATCGAGATTGCTTATGGGTTCGAACAAGCAACTAAGTACCGAAAGCCTCCTCCAAATCCAATCAAGTCATTAATACATCTACATTCAGATGCATGATATGACACTATATATGCTCTTGTGGACTAGGTATGTCAAAACTTCACAAAGCATAGTAAAATTTGGCTTATGTGTCTGTATGTACGTACTTGTATTGAATTGAATAAATTATATAAAGCCATATAGGTCTCGGCCTTTGGGGGCATGGCATTGCAAGCATCGACTTCTTTTAAATGTATTAATCTTATCATATCAATATAAAATAATCGTACATGAACTAAAATTTATTAAAATACGTTTTTTCTTTTACTAATTATATCATTATAATCGTCTCGTCAATACCTTTAAAATGAGTCTAATATTGAATATTTTTGGATTTAATCGTATTATTAAATATCATGAATACGTACGAGTTAATTTGTTCTATATTCTTTACTTTTTTTTAATCTTATGTTTTTATCATATTAAAAATACATAATCATAGATTAACTAAAAATGCATAAAAAATGTGTTTTTTTTTCCATTACAAATTATATCATTATAATTTTCTCGTCAATACCTTAATATCATAAATATGTACGAATCTATACTATATTATAAAAGGCCTTAAACGATAATATATTATAAAAGACCTGGATATAACTTGACAAATCTAAAGAAATATACAAATTATGTCTCTATAGGTACATGTCACCATAAACATCATTAATTTTGATTTTTCTATTTATGAATTAACAAAAGTTGAATGTTAAAAATACGTATATCTAAGGGGTTGTTTGGCAATTGCTGAATGGTTTGGTGCAGAATGATTAAGTGGTCATAATGATTAAGAGGCTTTTATGATATAATACAAAATGAAATATAATTGTTTGGTAACTGTGTACAATGAAATTAGGGCTCTTGATGGTTTAGGGAGATTCATGATACAAAATCTTTCAGATGGTTTTAGAACCATTAAGAGACATATTTTTTTTTTCAAACAAGATTCATCTCTTAACGATACAAAGATTGTCTTCTAATGAAACTATCAAGAAGTAAATAAACAATGCGGAATGTTGTATATGTATTCAAATTTGTAAAAGTTATGCATTAAAAGACAATTTATATTGATTTTCAAAGTAACCGGTACAAACCATATTTGAATGCTATAAATTTTCTTTCAACAAATGGTCAAATCCTAAAAGTATGGCACTAAAGAACAAGATGATAAAGCCGATTCTTCTGCTAATTCTCTTGTTTCAGAGCATCATCGCCGGTGAAAATTCTGATTTCACCATAAGAGAGGCCACGATCCAAGAGATTCAAACAGCCTTTAACCAGAAGAAACTTACATCCAAGGGTTTAGTTGAGTTTTACATCGAAGAGATAACAAAACTCAATCCAATCTTCAGAGCTGTTATCGAACTCAACCCAGATGCAGTTCGTCAAGCTGAGAAGGCTGATCAAGAGCGAGAGACAAATACCCCCAATTTGGGTTTTGGGATGCATGGTATCCCTATTTTGCTCAAGGATAACATTGCAACCAAGGATAAGCTTAACACGACTGCAGGATCTTACGCCCTTCTTAAGTCGGTAGTTCCTCAAGATGCTTATGTGGTGAAGAAATTGAGAGAATCTGGAGCAATTATTCTTGGGAAAGCAAGCATGAGTGAATGGGCTCATTTCAGAAGTTCCTTATCACCTAGTGGTTGGAATGCTAGAGCTAAACAAGCAGTTGTAAGTTCCCACCTTCAACGTTTCATCGTTAATTCACGATTCAACTTAATTGTATGATGATAATTTTCTGTGAAAACATTTAGTACCCAGGTGTTTGTGTAAATGCCTCAATGGACTTAACAAAACATGTAATCAACTGATGCTAGGCTTTAGGAGAGTACTAAAGCGATTCATCTTCCTTGTGTTTCTTCAATTCATTGCCTATTCTGAAATTGATTGAGAAATGCAGAATTCTGCACTTCTATTGGATTCAAAGATTTCTTGAATTTGTGCAGAACCCATATGTAGCAACGGTTGATCCATGTGGTTCAAGCACTGGATCAGCTATATCAGTTGCAACAAACATGGTTACTGTATCATTGGGAACAGAAACAGATGGATCGATTCTATGTCCTTCAAGTGCCAATTCGGTTGTTGGGATCAAACCCACTGTAGGTCTTACAAGCCGAGCAGGAGTCATTCCGGTTTCCCCTAGACAAGACACAATTGGGTAAGCGTAGCATGTCTATTATCTTTTGGTCCCCATCCACACTCGGGCTTTGTTTGGCAAACTAGCTTATGAGCTAGAGATTATCAAATATGACTCGTTTTTTAGCTAACAACTAGCTTAGATGACAATGTAAAATGACATGTTAAAAAATTAATTGGAAAAATATAGGGGGCATAATTGAACAAAGCCCATGAGCTTATTGAAAAGTTTCAAAAAGGTAGCGTACAAGCTAGTTTATGGCTTAACCAAACGAAGTTTTTTCAACAAGTTCAAAAAATAAGCTCACTTATGGTTATCAAACATGGCCTTATCCCTGTGTAAGGTCTTGAAGAATAAATCCTAGAATCCGACAATATCTTGTACCCGTAGAACAGTAGAAAAGTGGTGATACATATTGTTTGTGCCGGATTTGTTGTAACTGTTCTCTGTCCCTCTATGCATTCTTGCCCAAAACAGACCAATATGTAGGACTGTAGCCGATGCTGTGTATGTTCTTGATGCCATTGTGGGTTTTGATAACAATGATGCAGTGGCAACCCAAGAAGCTTCACAGTATATTCCAAAGGGTGGTTATCTGAAGCACCTAATATCTGACGGACTCAAAGGAAAGAGGTTGGGGATAATGAGGGCTTATCCATATTTTGGCTTTGCTAACGACACTAAAACTTTGAATAAGTTTGAGAAACATTTTGCCGTATTAAGGTAAGCATTCAAATATCTGCCATCATCCTCATATACCTCTTTTTTGTTATATTCATATGCTGCAATTTTATGTAAAACAAGCCAAAGTGGTGCCACGCTGGTAGAGAATCTAGAAATCATCGACTTGGATCATATCGTTTCTATGTTCAATAGCGAGTTTATAGCAATATTGGCGGAATTCAAGATAGCTCTAAATGCCTACCAGAAGGAGCTTATGGCTTCGCCTGTGAGATCTTTAGCAGATGTAATAACCTTCAACGAGAAATTTGCGGATTTGGTAAGTTGCACCTTCATCTTCACAAAATGGCACATAAAGGATCCATAATATCGGTTTTATCTTTGAACATCCTTTTGTAGAGACATACATACATACATACATATATATATATATATACATATACATATATATATATACATATACAGAGGAGTGATCATATGAAAACCGTCCTCATTTGTGTAAACCATGCAAACCACCTTTATCTGTCGATTTCATTGTTTAATCTTATGAAATTTTTTCATGAAATTGTTTAATCTTGTGAAATTGTTTCATATAATACTTTTTTTTGATGAAGTTGTTTCATATATGGTTGTGAAATTGTTTCATATAATACTTTTTTTTGATGAAGTTGTTTCATATATGGTTGTGAAATTGTTTCATATAATACTTAATGAAACTGTTTCATGTGTTTCTCTAACATTAATGAAACTGTTTCATGTATTTCTCTAAAATTAAAATTATGAAGATGATAATATCTATGATTAACACCCTCCACAATAAAAATGATTAATCAACCTCTCATAATTACAAAAAAAGAAACAAAATGAAAAATTATGATTGGTTGAATGCGGTTTGCACGGTTTGTACAAATTGAGTGGTTTGCATTTGATCGCTCCCCTACATATACATATATATACATATATACATACATATATATATATATATATATATATATATATATGTGGGGAGAGAGAGTCGGGTTCAAATGAGAACAATGACCAATTAAAAGAATACGAGAACGGCCAAATCACATGTGATTTTTCACTAAACTTATGAGTAAAATCACATGTGATTATGCACGACCTAGGTCACAGGGGGCCAAGTCACCTGCACACCTTTGCATTGATGGTATTCCGTGATCACATGTGATTTAAGTGCAAAATCACTTGATTTGGCCGTTCTCGTGTTTTCTTATTTTGATCATGTTTTCCTTTGATCCCCTCTCTCTCTCTCTCTCTCTCTATATATATATATATATAAAGAGAGAGGGCAAATCAAATATAAATCGTCTATATGTTAAAACTCTATGGACCAATATGGAACTCACATATATAACTTCTCTAATTATTTTATTAATTTCCTAAAAAAGCTCATTTTTCTCATTTAAAATTACCCGATTAATGTAATGTTTCGTTGGTGAACAACATTGTACTCAAAAGGGATCAACCCCATGTATTATTTTCTTAGTGAAACAATCCTGTATTATCAAAACAGATTAATCCAAAAAGTGTTGTTTCATTGGTAAAATGACACTATATTATCAAAAAAAGGTCAACACATATCAACCCATGTGTTGTTTCATCGGTGAAACAAAACTGTTGATGATTCAAAAGCAAAACAAAAAGCGAGTTTTTAAGGAAACATTTAGATAAAGTAATTAATATAATTAATAAGATAATCATGGACGTTAAAAATATGTGATCGATATTGGTTCATAGAGTTTCTAACATATAGGAGGTTTGTATATAAGCATCCACGAATGACCAGATACGTTCAGTAAAATGAAATCAGTTTTATACGATGCCAAATATGTCTAAATGTCTTAATAAAAATAAACTGTTTTATATTACAGGAAGAGCTCAAAAAATACCCACAAGACTTCTTTTTGGCAGCTGAAGAGACCGGGGGTATAGGAGAACTAGAGAAGGAAGCTTTGATGAACTTGACAAGAGCATCAAAAAATGGGTTTGAGAAGTTGATGAAAAAAAACAAATTGGATGCACTTGTAACACCATATTCCCACGGTTCCACGGTCCTTGCTATCGGGGGATATCCGGGAATCAGTGTTCCAAGTGGGTACGATGATAATGGTGCTCCTTATGGTATTTGTTTCGGAGG